CTATGTAAATTTGTGAGAATTGACTGAAGGTTATAAATATTTAGGATTATGTCTGAAGCATCAAAAATAAACATTTACTTCATAGTGGATTTTACAACTATCATACTTTAATCCATACCATAGAGATATTTAAAAGGAAATATTTATCATCTGATATCATCTCCAAAATTGCATCGTTTGACAAGAATAAAATATGCTATTCTCACTGTGCAGTGATAAAGTCATTTGTTGTATTGCTTTCAGTATTGTTATTTTCTGGTCAATATTTTTAGGCCATTTGATAAGGTCTAAAATGTTTATATTAACAAATTTTCGAATTAGGGTTAAGTGATTAATATCATATTTAGATGTCTGGCAGCAACCCACTTACTATGGTTTAGTCTAAGTAAGATGAAAATGCCTAGGAGATGCTTAACAGGGTGTTGATTTTTTTTAAAGCAAATGTTTATAAATGTGTTGAAACTCACCATATAAAAAGTAGTATTTTGTTATTTTATTCCATAGGTTAATGTAGATAAAAATGCAGATCAAGGGATATATTTGATTTGTACTTTAATAAGGCCTTTGCCTATTAAACAAAAATTCTTGGATTAGGGATAAATCAATGAGTATACTTCTTTCTGTAGGTAAGACAATTTTTCCAGAAGAGCCCATAGGCCATTATGATCTAAACTACACGGTCAAGACAGGGATGGTGGTTTCTTCATAGTAACAGGGAGACTGTCGATAAAATGTTTTAGCAGGGATGTTCTGAGGAGGCAGAAGCAATTTCCCCATTTTATGTAGTGTTTTCCCAGTGGCATATGCTGAAAATAAAGATGTGGAAAACCGTGCTTGCTGAATCTTATCTGCAAACACAATCCTCCCCCCCTTTCCTTGAGTCGGGAGTATGCAAAAGTAACTGAACAATGCAATACTTTTATGTGTTAGGGAAAATTGTGTCAACTTCAATAGAGTTGTCTCTGACAGGTTTATATGACGTGATTTTCTACAAATTGCTTATAAATTGAGTTTTTACTAAACCATTTGTTAAAGTAAAAAAAAATTCCTATCCCATAGGAAAGCTTTGAATAGGATAATCTAAAAAAATAATTAGAAAGAAATACACACTTGAAATAACATTAAAAATGTTTACTCTTTGGCTGCCCAAAATGTAAATTAAAATAGTGAGATTTAATCTTTTAACCAACAAACGGGTAATTTTTTTTTTTTTTTTTTGAGTTGGAGTCTCACTCTGTTGCCCAGGCTGGAGTACAGTAGCGCGCTCATGGTCCTTGCAGCCTTGACTTGCTGCCTGGTGGGCTCAGGAGATCCTTCCGCCTCAGCCTTCCAAATACCTGGAACTGCAGGCGAGTGCTACCATGCCCCGCTAATTTTTTTGATTAATTGTAGAGATGAGGTCTTACCAAGTTGCCTAGGCTGGTCTCGATCCCCTGAGCTCAGGCAGTCCTCTCACCTCAGCCTCCCGAAGTGCTGGGATTACAGGCTTGAGGCACTGAGCCCAGCCGGTAATTTAAAAAAAAAAACAACTTCGTTAGGTAATTGATGAGGTTTACCTATCCTCATATCCTGTTAGCCAGTATGTAAATGGTGCAGTAGTATATAAATTCTATAGAAATTTTTTCCAAAGAATTGAGATTGATCACAAAAATTTAATCTCTGGTATCAAATTAAAATTTCAACAATTGAGGATTAGTTAGTTTATGGTAAACACTAATTATCCATTAAATATACTATATAGTCAGTAATATGGAAAGATAATGCATTATGTAGTGCTGAAATCAACAAGTCATACACATATATACACACATGCACTTGCAGGCACACATTCTTATATGTGTAGACATGTGCAGAGATGCAGAGAAATATCCAGGAAGGCTGTTCACTAAGGTGATAACTCTACTCTCTGCACCCAAGACAGAATAACAAAATAATGTTTATTTTACAATTTTTCCTATTTTATTTTTAATAATTTATATTTTTAAAATGATATTTTAATTTAGTAATATGTTTAAAGCCCTTCAGGTTATTCACCCTTTTATATGTCTAGTGTTTCAAAAAATAAATAAATAAAATGGAGGAATGCTTACTGTCAGGAAATTGTATAAAGTCCATCACTCTTTGAATGTTAAATCCATGTTTCTCAGATATTGCTTATTCATAAAATAAATTTTAAAAATTCCAGTCTTAGTAGTGTCCTGATCATTTGTGTGTGTGTGTGTGTGTGTGTGTGTGCAAATCTTAGGCAATAATCTGGCAAGCAGTTCTGGGCTAATAATGAAAGACATTGGCTTTCGGTTTTTAATTATTTTATGAAATTCAGGTATTTTTCTTAGTTCTGCCTAAAGAGGACAGCCATAGAAAGGAATTTCTCCTAAATTTATATTGTAATAAGTACTTAAAGCAGAGACTCCTCCTGTTTATCTGGAATTTGTTTTGATGAGTAATAAAATCTTTTACAAAAAGGTAATTCAAAGATAAAGAGAGAAGCAATTGGATTCTAAAAGTATCAGAGCTCTACTAAGCTATACATGCTGATAGATTCTTTTTGAAATGTGGATTTCCATCTCATTTTGCTGGCTTAATCCTTAACTGGTTGTTTGTATATTTTAGGAACATATCTCAGAAATTGAAATCTAATTTTAGTACAGTTGTTACTGTCTTGATTTCTTTCTTTAAATATAATTTTGCTGATTGTGGATTATTTACAATGTTACTTAAATTGTGTAATCAGCATAAATATATGCAATCATGCAATTTAATTAGGGAATGTTATTTAGGAAAGTAATGATGGAATTCAGACATCCATGGCACTTTAGAAATTCTTGAAAACTTTATTTTAAAACTGCTACTTAGTGAACAGTGGTTGATATTCAAATTTAAATATTTCTCATTTCCAGAAAAGTTAAAAATCATTAAATTCGGTGGAATGAAATATAGTATTGAAAGTATGATGCAATTTATGAATATCCAAGACTTTTTAATTAAATTTATTCTGATGTTCAAGTTTCTGTTTCTCATAATATTCCCTGTTTTTGATTTAATGTTTTCTTATTCATGGGAAAGAGACTAATTTAAAAAGCATTTGTTTTTTAAATTCAAAATCATAAGTTTACATAGAGAAAATTTTTTGTTGTTTGTATCAAGAAATTTTATCTCTAATAGTAGCTTGAGCTAATCATAAAGGGAATTGGATAGGCTGATAATGGAATAATTTCTGATTTAAATCAGATACAATTTACTCAACATAATCTGACAGAAGAAGTACATGTGTTGGCAGTCATCTGTGGTCACTGGGTAAATCAGTCTGGGCTCAACATTGGGCCTTTGTGGGTTCTGATCCTACAAACTGAATATGGTATGATGACAATATAGAATGAGATTGAGTCTATCAGACATCTGGCAGCCTTGATTTAATAGAAGGTTCTCGGTGACTTGGACCCTTGGCATTTGGAGATCATTTCTGACACTGGGCACCATCATAAAATTGATTCCATCTGGCCTGCTCTGGCTCAGAGTTTTCACATTTTCCCTAGTGAGTCTACTGGCCATGACTAGTCCTTGTTTACAGAATTTTCTGTCTCCCCTGGTTGGCAGAGTCAAATTTTTCATGTATTGTGACTTAGTTTCTTGTGTAGAGTCCTTATTTTAAAAATAGCCATTTGTAATATGGGCATAATACATGAATTTTTACAAATAAAATAGAAAACCTGAAAACAAATGTAGAATATTTAATATTTGACCCATAGTAACCTAAAATACACTAACAAGATATTTTGCCCAATAGGAGAATAATAGATTTTATAAGTGGGAGGGACCATAAAAGCTATAAAAGCTTTACCCTCTTGTTTTACAGGTGGTGTGAAGTTATTTATCTAAAAGTCCTGTATGGTCTCTGGGTTCACGATGTGATGTTCTTTATGAAAAATCCCAAGAACTTTATTAAAAGTTAGATTCTCAGATTTAATTAAATGCACTTTCCCTGTGGATCAGTTATTTGTAGATTATGGCCCTTGGAAAAAAGCCTACTCCCTAAATCTGACATATTTTTATCTGAAAGTTCAGTGAAAACCCTGAGCTCTTTAACAGTTGTCCTTTTATTATAAGATGGAAGGTTATCATCGTCCTAGTGAAACAAGTGCTGAAATCTAGTGAATTTCATTTTTCTTTTACATTTCTACTTGACAGTTAAATGTAGACTGTCCTCAATTAGCAAGAATATTATTTATTTATTTTAAAGTATGCGTCAAAACTTTCAAGATATATTTAATATATAATCAGTATTAACGTGCTATTACTTTCTGCTCTGTTTTTACAGTGTTTCATGTTCTCATATTAACAGAGTCAATATGATGGGATATTGTATTCCTTATTTGCTTTCACTTGCTGGGTTGTTTACTTATTTTGCTGTGGACATTTTGCTTAGATTTTTTTTCTTTTTAGATTGCTTTCTTGTGTTATATCACCAGGCTTTGTGACAGATTGCTAAACTGAATCCCTGAAAGATTAATCAGAGTCAGATTAGAGAGGAGTTAAGACTTAACCTCGTGACACAGCTCTGGTTACTTTCTCTGCCCATTACTTAATTTCTTACATGCATCAATTTCCTCATATGTAAAATGAGATAATAATACATGCCCAATACATTCCTAACCCTTGATGAGGGTTAGTTATTATTAGTATTATTATTAACCTATCATTAGAAGCAATGTATAAAAACCCTTTGTTTTAAACAGTTAACATGGCCTTCAAATCGTCTGATTTTATTTTTTCCACAGTATAATTTATCATTTTTACATATAAATTTAAAATATCTGTTGATTATTTTATTCAATAGAAAAATTATAAACGATTGTATTTTAAAAGTGCAAATTGGCTAAGTGTATATTTTAGGCTGAGTGATTGCTTAATTAGGAATTTTCACTCAGTGTCATTTTCATTGTATTTTTCTTAATCTGCCATTGTATTTTTCTTAATCTTTACCAAACACATAGTAGACAATGACCCAGAACTCTGCAGTGACTTTGAAGTCAGAGAAGGGTAAGGCAGAATGGGAGGTAGGCAGGGCACTTGGGTCTTGGCCATAGGTCTTTATGGTTCTAGTTCTCTGCTGCCTCAGAGATTGAACTCTTAAGCTGCAAACTTGTAGCATTGCCCTCTACTTACTTTTCCACTTTCCACGTAAAATTATTATGTTTTCATCTACTCCATAGCTTTTCAATCTCACTGAGTCATGCCCACATTCTTCAAAGACATGCGTTGTATTTTGTACTGATTTATTTATTTATTTTATTTTGATTTATTTTTTATTTTGTGGGGTACAATTCAGGGCTAGGTATACAGATGTTTATTATGCAGTTACCCTTGTTGATGAGGTGTGCCCCTCCTCCCCTGGAAGTTTCCCACTACTGCCAATCCCTCCCCGCCCCCTGGCAGTTTCCAACTACTGCCTATCCATAAAGAAGAGAGATGATGTGTTGCTAAACATCATCCAACTGGCCAGGTATCTATTTTTGAGTTAACCTCATCTTAGATAATAGAAGTTTTCCATTGTGTTCTCCTTTTTCTATCCTTTTCTCTGACTACTCAGACATATGATTATCCTCTTAATAAATTGAACAAGAGGTTGCATACATAAACTTCTAAGACAATTTCAGATGGGCAGTAGCGTGGTTAACCATTCAGTCATTGATTTGTTATTCAAAAATTGTGGCTACTTATATATTATATGCCAATGTCCACATTTGCAATGATGTAGCAAAAATGTACATATAATAAGATCGAGTCTCTATCCTGAGACATCTCTGTGCCAGAGACTCCCAAGACTACTCCCAGCTTTGATGATTTGCTAGGTGAACTCATAAGGCTCAGCATATCATTGCACTCAAGGTTATGACTTATGGCAGAAGAAAATAAGGCAAAATCAGCTGTGGGAAGGGGAATATAGGACAATATCCAGGGAAACCAGGGGCGAGTTTCCAAGAGCCCTTTTGGGGCACACAGGTCACATTTCATTTTTCTAGCAACGAGTTTTGACAATACATGTAAAATATTGTCTATCCCAGAAGTTCATTAGAAACTCAGTCCCCAAGGTTTGATTGGGGGCTGTTCACATAGCTACCTTTTGTCTAGCATATACCAAAATTCCATATTCTCAGAAGTAGGTCAGGTATTTAGCATAAACTTTATTGTTTGCCCAGACAGTTTAGATACCATGAACCCCTTTATCTGTTAGGGAATGATAAGAATTCTCCCTAAATCTAAGTACCCAGATATCAGCCAAGGGTCAGCACTGCAAATGGCCTTCCCAAGGATAGCAGTTCCAGGCCTGCCACATTAACTGTTTTCTGCACAATCTTACATTCGAGTGAGGGTAAGCATAAGAGGGGTTTAAAGAGTCAGGCAAAATAAGTTATTGGATTATAGAAGACAACTTAATTTGCTCTGTTTGGGGAATTCAAAGGAAGGTTCACTTAAAAAGACATTATTTGAGCTGAATCTTGAAGGAGTTGTGTGATTTCTCAGTCTTACAGGAGGGTGAGGGATTTTATCCATGCAAAAGTGACTATTCACTGTAGGTAAAGAGATTATTGAGAAATTCTGTGTGGTGCAAGCACAAGGCATGATGGGAGAAGCAAGAGGTATGGGAGAAGATGGAGCAAGAGCATACAGGGTTTTATAGTTGGGTGGACAGTGAAAAGAGCTATTAGAGCTTTTACTCAGAAAAGAGAAGTGAAAACTTTGAAAGATATCTCTGGTAGCAGGTGGAAAGAAGATTGGAGAAGGAAGAATCTGATGACTGTAACACTAGTTGGAAGGCAAGAGGTGATGGAGATGTGACCCTAGGGCATCTATGAGGGGATTAGAGCATGACACAGTCCTCCACCCAGGAGGCACCAAGAATCTCCTGGGGACTGTTAACAAAGTAGGATGTTTAGATCTCATTAGATCCCCTTGACATCTCTAGACAAAACGTTCTGTAAGCTTTATCTTCTGCAGCTACCTTTCTTTATAATGCTGTCAAAAGCTCAAAGCCTGGGTAGTCAGTTCATTAATGGACATACCCAAGGATATAACTATTTCTATGGAATTTCCTCTTCAGTTCTGCAATAAATTGAGATGCAAAACCATATGGCAGTATACCTTCGCCAAATATTTTCATCTATCCTCAGATGTGTCTAGCCAGTAAATCTGCTTGCAGTGAACAATCTGAATGTTTCTGTAGAGGATTTACAGTGGTGATTATGTTCCCTTGTAAAGTGCAGGCCAAAGTGTTTGTCAAAAGACACAGCAGTGATGGTTCCTAATTGCATAAGATGCATGTCAATCTATGCAGCTACTTCTCGGTTGTTCCGCATGTATTGTGTGTATGATTTGTATGCAGGACTCAAGAAATGGGGTTAAAATGTTTTCAGCACATAGCTATGAGTTAAATGCAGGCTATTTAAATAAAATAAAATAATTAGAATAAGACATGAATATAAACATATTCTTCTTGGTGTAGTTTTCTCCCCTTTCGCTTTTATTTTGTTATTTTACAGTATATGATGACACAAAAGAGACTTGCAAGGCTTGCAAAGAATAATATGATGATACATGTGAGCTTTTTATTCTATTCTCAGATTAACTGGACATTATGGGGCTTCATAATAATGTTCTTTTGGCAAAACAAACAAGTACCTTCTTCAGTAATAGTCTATCTGCTATTGTAATCAATAGAATATCTCAAGAATGAGTTAAGATCATTTTATATATTGTATGTACACAAATGTGCATCTTTAAAGCTTCCTCTCCTTGTATTCAAATGAGAGTCATGTGGTATATTTAACGTTTCTATGAGCTATCTATCTGATTAACAACTACAGTCAAATATATTGAAGAAAATGATTTCCATCAGGTGGCTTAATTAACATACACTAGACAGAAAGCAAACAATCTGTTCAACCAAGCTATTCAATGATCCCTCCTGTTGTTTTTGTTTTCACTACAGCTGGGAAGGGAAAAATTACATCACATATATCTCTTTGTCTTGCTTCTGAATGGTTATTTTTGGTGCTGCTTTAAAGAATAATTTAAAATATTCTTGTGAGTTTGAAAGCCTGCAAAATGTACAGAAGTAATTTATAATACAGATGTCCAAGCTGTGGTCTTTCCAGTTATCCTCAATCTTTACTTCTGTAAAACATCCATTTTGACTTGTTTTATCTTCTCTAAAAATCATTCAGAAGCGGGATCAAGACCTAAGACAATTTTGTACTTCAGTCTTGATGAAACATGTTGAATTTTGAACATACAATAACATTTCCTCCATGCATGATTGGGCTGCCTTGCTTATTCATAACATAATCAGACAAAAAGAATTAGGTTTAAAATGCCAACCAAAAGAAGCAGCCAAAAGGTATTCATAGATACCAGGCCCTAAAGCTCACAAATGTTCTCATTAGAAAACCCCTCAGGTTCTTTCTGAGATCCTGTTAACTTTTTGTAATTACAAGAAGAGCAAGCAAATGATCGGTTTTCAAAGTTTGAGGTAGCAAATTCTAGAAGGAGCAAGGAAGAAGGCAAGCTGTAATAGCTGTCAATGGGGACAGCGAAGCAAGAGACTAAAAATCATAAAACACAGCTAAACAACGGGATAAAATGTTGAACCCTCAGCTGTCTGGAATGTAACCTTGTAAGTACTAGAATAAGCATGTGTGCCTGTTTCATGCAAAGGGCTATCTGTCTGTTAAACTTACTGTCCCCCAATAATCCTGCTAAAGAATGAACTTGAATGTTCACTACAAGGAGAATTTGACACATTAATGAGACCTCTCAAATATCAATTTAAATAGACCATATAGACTTTATCGTTTCCAAGTTTTGAAGTTCTCGTTCATTTGTTCTCTTGAGTAAGAAGGCAGGGAAAAAATGAGAAAAGGGATTTGATGAAGTTGAGAAGTAGAATATTTATCCAGAAGAACTTCTCCAATTCCACCTGCTCCCTGCCCTGTGCCAGGATGCCAGGGCCTAGTGGGAGGTTAGGTGGGCTAATGGGGATTCTGGAAAGTACCGTTTTGTCCTATGTTATAAATATCTAAAAAAGAAAATGAAAAATTAATATTGGGAAAGAGAAAATAACACCTACTTAAAAGAAGCCAAAAGTTGCTTTGAAATTCTGTTTTGAAGATTTTAACGAAGTTGAGTTCTTTGAAGTTTTAGGTGTGTGGTTTTTTAAATTTACATTTCAGGGAAGTGACCTGTCTCTGGATGAAGCCATGTCCTTGGTGTGTATGGTTTTTAAATACCATTTTTCTACCTGGGACTATTTCATCCATTTTCTGCTTTTATGTTTGCTGCCATTTCTTATCTGGGCTAGCATTGTAACAAGGATCCTATATAGATTTTCAGTTGTTGGTACCTGACTATTTATATTCACATAGCGATGTCTGTGGTATAACTTGCTAGTGCAAGGCTAGTGCACACCTCTGGCATTAAGTGTTGTACTAGAAGGTCTTTTCTGGTTGTTATAAAATTTTATTGCTTACCTTTGTTATAAGCTGCCTCATATATTTTTGGTAATGATGCAGGATATATAAATAAAGCAAATAAAATTGTTTTATGTAGCTTTGCCTAGCATCATAAGTCTTAGAGCCTGACACATCCTCAGGTAAAGCTGTCTGCTTTTGCAGGTAAGATATTTTTATTCCCATTTAAAATATAGGGTAACAAAAGCACAGAAACTTTAATAAATTATGCTGGATCCCACAACCAGCAAACCTACCAGAAAGAATTGCACCCCAGGTCTCTTGAATCCTTGCACAGTAGTTTTTCCACGACTTAATTCTGCCTGGTCTATAAATCTTACTCCAGAGACTGTCAGCAATTTGTTCATTCACTCATTCTGTCCATCAATAAACAATTATTGAGTACTGTTCAATGGACACTAGGAACAATAGTGTTAAATTATTTTTTCTGCAGTAATCATGACAATAGGATTTTTTTAAATGTTTAATTTAATAAATTTATTTATTTGAGTCTAGGTCTTACTCTGCTGCCCGGGCTGGAGTGCAGTGGCACAATCAAGGCTCACCACAGCCTTGATCTCCTGGGCTCAGGCGATCCTTCCACCTGAGCCTCCTGAGTAGCTGGGACTACAGGAATGTGCCACCACATCCAGCTAATTTTTTGATTTTTGTAGAGATGTTCTTGCACTGAGGGGACCATCATGGCTATAATTAAATACTGCTCTCGAAGCTGTTTTTGAACCTGTCTCTTGCCATTATAAAGCCTGGTCAATTCATATCTTTTGGTAATGGTTGGGTAGAAGAAGGCTGCTTTTCTTGTTCAGAAACTGAATTCCCAGTATGTGTGGTACACCTTCCCCTGCTGACCTACTGAAATGAAAGACGAAGAATCATGATTAAATCTCATTTTTTTCTCCTGTAGTAGCGGATTGAGCTGGGTCAGCAAGGCCAGTCCCTGCAGATGACTTTGAAGTACTTTTGTGATCTGATCTCCTTGCCTTCCCATTCATTTCTGTAAGCACCTATCACTGTCATCCTTTAGACCCTGACAGGATTTCAAGGTGAGAACAGCACAAATGAACAAGAGCATTTGTGATGAGTCCTGAGGGTGTTGCTTATTAAATGAGTTAGGCAATGAACCAGCTCGCCTTGTAAGCTAGAAGGCACTTCACCCACTTACACAATGGAAATTTCATGTATTATTTAACCCACTTAAATAGGTTGTTGTCTCTCTGCTATTCAGCATAACTCATGTGAAATAAACATAAACTCACAAGTTAATAATATCTGACTTTCGTTTTTAAATAAGCTGAAAATCATTTGACTTCATTCCTTTGTTTGGATTCTAGCTTGCTTTCTCAGAACAGCTAGAGAATGTTTATGAAGTGTGCTCGTGGAGGGGGTGAGGAAAGGGAATAAAAATGCATCGCTTTAGGGCTGCACATCTGTTTTTAGGAACTCTGCAAAATCCACGCATTAGCCATTGTCAAACTTCGGGTGTATTCTACTCATTGATGTTCACGCCAACTCAGAATATTACAAGTAAACAGATTTCACTCTTGTAAGCCAGTGTCCTAATCTCGTGACTGGCAGAATTAATTTTTCTTCTCTAGTAGATACCACATGTATGTATGACTCACAATGAGTGGTGACACATTTTCATTCTTTTTTTCCAGCAGATTGGCAGTACGACATTGCTCAGGCCTTCCCTCACACAGAAGAGGAGGTGGAAGTGGACTTACACTCGTACAGCCACAGGTGGAAAAGGAACTCGGACTCTCTCAAGGCAGTAGACACAAACCGAGCAAGCCTGGGCCAAGATTCCCCAGAGCCCAGAGGCTTCACAGACCTGCTTCTAGACGATGGACAGGACAACAACACCCAGATTGAGGTAGATAGATATCCTGGGTAGTTAAAATGAATGCATGAATATATTTCCTGTGAGAGATCCAACTTTTATACGCACATATGTTGGGCCTGCATCTCTAGCTAGAGATTTTGGACTTTTTAAAAATAGGAGCAATTCAATTTATCAATAAACATGATAGCTCAGTCATTTAATTGTCCCTTGATTAATTTACTCATGAAACAGACAAGCATGGGCTTGGTGTGGTGATGACAGTGAAGGGACAAATATGGTACCTTCTCTCGAGGAATTCTGTTGTGTAAGGATGTCTAAATGCCATAAACAAATCATCCCTATACCATGGGACTTGTGCAGAAAAGTACAGGCTATAGTGTGGCACAGAGGAGGATATGATCAACCTGCTTGAGATTGAGTTATGGTGTTGTCAAAGAGGATTTTTCTAGGAGTGGGCAATTAGGAAGGGGCTTGACAGAATGGGATTCACCAGTTGATAACCTGTTAGTGGGGAGAGGGAAGGGCGTTCCTGGCAGATGAATTGCTTTTGCAGGGGCTGAGGAGTGGAACGGCATAGCATGTCGAGGAGTCTATAGGGTGATGACCAATTGTCCTGATTTGCCTATAGCTGAAGGGTTTCTGGGATTTAGGACCTCCAGTACTAAAAATGGAGCAGTTCTGGACAAACTGGTATCCTTGGTCACTCTAAGACTGTTAACTCTTCTGTGTTATGGATGGAGCCATGAAGTGGTGGAGAAGAAAAATAGAAGATGGTCAAAAAGTGGTTTGATGAATAAGGAAGTTTGCAGAGGACATCTTTTAGGCAGATTTTTAGGGTTTCTCAGAGGCCTCAAAGGCAGTGTTACATTTCTTAAGTTTCTATAGTCCTTAGAACTGCAAATCATAATAGGATTTTGTTTGTAAACTGGATATAACAACAAACAAGTAAATTGTATGGACATAAGCGAAGACCTCTCAAATGCGATCAAACAGAGGCTATTTGTTTGATTTGCTTTAGCAAGTAGGAAGTCAGCCACCATCACTTGTCTTTAGCAAAGGGAATGGGAACATTTTTAGTGTAAAAATGGGAAGGGTCAGTTATCCTCTGACTGGAGGTGGTTGGCCTGGGGAAACTGGAGGTGGACTAATTGGAACAGAGCATTGTCTATGATTAGTTTGAGGAACATCTTTGGATTTTAATAATTGGTTCTGAGCTGGAAGCAGAACCCCCCCCCGCCCAAAAAGAGAGAGAGAGAGAGAGAGAGAGAGAGAGAGAGAGAGAGAGAGAGAGAGATAAACTCCACTATTAATCAAGTCTTGACCATTCTGGACTGACTACTGCCAAGGTTATGGTTTAGCTTCTTAGACTTGCTGCTGTAAAGGTTGGGGTCAGAGTTCTATAGTCATGTATGGTGTGTCTGCTTGTATATTTCCTCTCAGTCTACAGTTTCTGTTCCAACTTGGTGACAATGAACTAGGTGACAGGCTTATGATTTTTAAGAACAAAACAGCATCCTTTATATTGCACTGCAATATAAGTCCCTGAAATACTCCTTATTTAGGAAAAGAACTAAGCTTCCTAAAGCAGATACTATATAGTCCTGCAGATAGTGTCAAGGCATTATTTTGTTCCCTCAGTGTGAGAGATATCTTCTGAAGAACTGAAGCACAAGCTGGGGGAATTCTGTATAGTAAGAAGCTCAGCAATTTCTGAAACCCTTCTCCAAGGTCTTAGCTACTAAGTGACTGTGGTGTTCCCTGGCTGTCCCAGCTAGGTCTCTTACCAGGCAACAGAAGATGTGTCAGGAGCAGAAGTCGTATGATATCTTTAAGAGGTTATTCTGACTCCTGCAGAGTGGCCTGCTGCTTTGGCAATGATGTTGTTATAGCAACTTGGAGTGGGCAACATAATTCTTTCCTGAGCCAGTCTTTAGCTAAGATGTACATAAAGGAAGGAGAGCTGAAGAGAAGCAGAAGTGTTTACTCTGCCTGGAGCTAGAACCCGACCGAGATTGAAATGGGAGAACATAGATTCCTAGAACTCTGATCTCTCTTGTAGAGTGCTGAATTTTCTTAATCACTTATAAAAGTAGACAATTTCTTTCCTCAGGGATGTATTAACACTCCCCAAAATGTCCCAGTTATTATTATAGTTGGAACTTTGTTATTCAACTGTTTTTTTGCCTTTTTTTAAACCTGAATAGAAGGAGACCACAAAATGTCCGTAGTTTTGAATCAATAAAAAGAGAAGGAAGTACAGGACAAGGGACTATTTGGGGCTAAGACTTTCCAAGTGCTGTATGAGTGTCATCTTATTTAGTCCTGACAGCAGTGAAATTGTGTCCCCAGGTTCGCTGGACAATTTCAGTGACTTTTTACATGAGATCAAGTTTAGATTTAGGTTTAGTGTTTTCCTAAGGTCTCCTGGGACTGAATTTCCAAACCCAGTTGGTATTCAAACCGATGCTTACCTGACTCCCAGGTTTTATCCTTTTTACTTGACTCTGTTCCCTCTAGTAAAAGGAAAGCTAAATGGCACCTGCATTATGTAATACTTTGGAACAGTTGCAGCCCCTGAATTTCCATATGAGGTTAACTGTGGAGTTTCAATCAGGCTAGAAGGAGACTTTTCCTGAAGCCAGAGTTGTATACCAAGAACACAGCCCTTATTTAGAGATTCATTTATTTTGATGGGTTCTGGTTCTGGGGATTGATGGAGATTATTGGGAATCTAAGGTTCCCCAAGTCACACTGCTATTGGTTTTGGAAACAAAAGTCTGCCTCTCAAACTTCTCAGGAAAGTTTTATTGATCCTAGTCCTTGAAATTGTAAATTTTTTTTTTAGCACTATGGCATCTCTTCTGGGTGAACATAGTTTTGCATGATTGAGTTAAACAGCAATAAGAAAGAAAGGAGCCAAATAGCTATAGACAGAGTACTCTGTGCGGGGCACTATAAGAAGATCTTTCTTATCTTTTAGGAATAAGCATTTTGGTTTACAAGTGTATTGCTTAGTACAAGCAATGTACATAACAGTGAAGAATTGTACTTTAGACACTGAGTCAGTGTCAGGAATCAGAATTATTTTGTTGGGCAGTCCCAGCTGTCACAGTGGCTGTTGAAATTATTTGTAGCCGGGCTCGGTGGCTCAGCCTGTAATCTCACGTCTTGGGAGGCTGAGGTGAATGGATTGCCTGAACCCGTGGGTTCGAGACCCACCTGGGCAACTTGGCAAGACCTTATCTCTACAATAAATCAAAAACTAGCCGGGCGTGGTAGTGTGCGCCTGTAGTTCCAGCTACTCGGAAGGCTGAGACGGAAGGATGGCCGGAGCCCAGCAGGTCGAGGCTGCGGTGGCCAGGAGCGGCCACTGCACTCCAGTCTGGGTGACAGAGTGAGAATCTGACTCAAAAAATAAATAAATAAATAAATAAAAATAAAAATAAAATAAAATATTTAAAAAAAGAAATTATTTGTATCTCAGTGAGACCAAAACCACCCAGAATGGAAATCCTATACATTCTCTCTTCATTTTCTCCCGTTGTCGAGACTTTATATCTCACTTTCATTTAAATAAAAAAAGAAATAAACCCAAACCAAAGGAAGACTATAGCACATTTAAGGTCATTTATTCTCTTAACTTGGTACTGGGTAACAATATTTTTTCTGGCTCCGCACAAGAACAGATAGTAAAAGGATTGTAAAACTTAGGATCTCAGTTAAAAAAAATTCTTCCACTTAAGGTTTTGTTGTTGTTGTCATTGTTTTTTCTTTTTTAAAAATATTCTTCCCATAAAGATGTAAAGATGTTTTGAAGTCAACTGTAGTTCCTGTTGAGTCAGCAGGGACCCAACAGCTGGCAAATGTCACTGCTGATTTGAATGTTGATTTCTGTGACACTTTAATTCTTGTGTTTCCTCTGTTCATTCATGTGGACATATAACCACTTAGCCAGGGAAGAAGAAAACTGCCTTCTTCTGATTAGCAGTTGCTAAAAATGAGGTATCATAAAACAGTCACTGCGTGTGCTACTTTTTGTAATGATTTTGGGAGTATTAAGGCTTATAGGACCTGCAGGTAAGGTTGGATTCCATTTATGATTTGGCCTTGTTACAGCAGCCTTCAGTGAATCCCATGACCCCAGGGACACACACATTGACAAGATCACATTGATGTGTTTTCACCTAGAAGTTGACTGCCCTTCTATGATCTGGCATGAGGCTCTTGCAGCAATGACAATACCACATAGAACGTAAAAGGCTTGAGTGGTGTTTGGTGGCAATTACTGATGCTTCATAAAGCTCAGTTTCATCTGCCTATTCCTGTAGAATAGGGTTGGTAAAGTACAATTATTCACTTTACAGAAATCAATCAGAAATTCCTCTGTGACCCGCTGAACCACGTTTGTGGTTTTTACCACTTATTCACATGCAGTATTGGAAGTATCATATTACCCTCTCTTGGGACAATGAAAGTGTTTATGAAAGGGATTGTAGAGTGTGATTTTTTGCCTGGGTTCAAAAGTCCCTGGGTGACTGAAGAAGAAAGATTTTATAAGCAGGGATTATGGATCATATAAATGTCATTTCATGATCCAAACTGACTCAGAAATTGGGAGCTAAGCCAGTGCCTCTGAAACATTAACATGCTTACAAATCACCTGGGAATCTGGTTTTTCTTCTGATTTCTGACTTCTTAGTGCTAGGCTGGAGTCTGTCTGATGTTCTTTGTTTCTAGCAAAGTCCCAGGTGATGTAGCTGTGGCCAGACCAAAGGCCATACTTTGAGTTGCAAGGAGTTAGATCACAAAGCAGATTTAGCTACCAGTGTTGAGTATATGAATGTTCTGAAAAATCTTAAATTAAATTTAGTTGCCTACCAACAATATGTCTCATGGTATTCTCATTCTGGTACCCAATCAACAATTGCAGGTGGACCCCGCAACTGTTATTTCATCCATGTGTTCATTAAAGTTCATATGTGAAAAAAGTACCATAGAGAATAATCAGCAAATATGTGTGATAGATTTAG